ATCTGCCCCATACCTGCCCCATACCTGCCCCATACCTGCTCTATACCTGCCCCATACCTGCCCCATACCTGCTCCATACCTGCTCTATACCTGTCCCATACCTGCTCTATACCTGCTCTATACCTACTCTATACCTGTCCCATACCTGCTCTATACCTGCTCTATACCTGCCCCATACCTGCTCTATACCTTCTCCATACCTGCCCCATACCTGCTCTATACCTGCAATATACCTGCTCTATACCTGCTCCATACCTGCTCTATACCTGCCCCATACCTGCCCCATACCTGCTCTATACCTGCTCTATACCTGCCCCATACCTGCTCTATACCTGCTCTATACCTACTCTATACCTACTCTATACCTGCTCTATACCTGCTCCATACCTGCTCTATACCTGCTCTATACCTGCTCCATACCTGCCCCATACCTGCTCTATACCTGCTCTATACCTGCTGTGTACCTGGCACTTGAACCTGACACGCTGACGTGTAAACCACGTAACGTGCATGTCTCGTGAGAAAAGTGTGTAGCGACGTTTTTAAAGCGGAACTCGAGGGCTAAAATCGCGCACACTCAGCAGATCTGTATCGATAATGACGAGAGAAAAAAAAGTCGTTGAGCCAAAAATAAATGTGCATTTAACAACATGAATATTTACATCATCTGATTAATGTTTATGAAACAACTATTCAATTATTTATAATTTGATAAATAAATGATAACAAAGCCAAAAGAGTTCAACAAAAACATAGACGCATAATGTCACAGCAACCGTTGAACTTATCCAAATGTCTTACTTCCGGTCACCTTCTTGTGCTGATTCCGGCTGTTGACCGTTGGCCGGCTCTGTTGACTTGTTGCGTAGGCTAGTACTGCTGTAACCACATTCAAAAGATTCAGCGACCAACTCATATATGCCCCCCTCGCCCACATACACCCATACTTAGTTACAATTAGTCTATATTTCCATTAATTCGTCCCATCACAAAGGGAGTTCACTTCTTTATTTAACTTTGGTCACCCAAGGGAAGCAACTCAGGTTCAAGAAAGACAACTCTTTATTTCTTATTTCTCATCCACGAAATGGGAAACATTCCTTCAGCATTTTCTCATTTTTCTAAGTGATTGTGTGTGTGTGTGGGGGGGGGGGGGGGGGGGGCGTCTGCCTCAACGGCCACTTCCGCCCTCCGTCCAGCTGCTTTATGAACTCATTTACTTGAATAATTTATTCAACAAAACGGAAATGGATGTTTTATTTTTAACTGAATTTAAAAAAAAAAAAAAATTGATAAATCATTAATTGCCGTAAATTGTTAATGAGGGCACACAGTTTGGGAACTTTCAATAAACATTTTTAAATCGGCATGTTAAAATTTTTATTTCTTTGTGAAAATGTTTCATGGAGGTGGCACACGTCTGCAAATAATTATATTGTAAGAGATGTAGTTCTATGAAGCAATTAAAAAAAACCCACTATGTATCGTATTTACCGTCTTAATTAACAAATAAATGTATGTATGTATGTATGTATGTATGTTTGTATGTTTGAATGTTTTTATGTTTGTATGTATGTGTGTATACATCATCCATCTCCCCTTCCCCCTCTCCCCCACACCACACACACACAGACTCACACACAATTCACAACCTACTTGTATCAATAAACTACGAGCCGTATTGTCCCAGTTTTGTCTTGTCTTGATTTGATCCCTCACGACCCTCGCCCGTGTCTCGTTAGCCGGACGTTGTATCACCACCAGACAAGGGAGAGAAGAAAGAAAAAAAAAACATCCTTGTTTTAATTCACTTTTTTTCCACATTGCCTGTCTGGCTCGCATGACCTTGGTGGATCTTAAAGTCATTATCAAGGTCATCCATACCCTTTATCCGTAACAAATATCCTTAATAATAATTTTCTTTGGATTAATTATACTCAACCATCTTGTCTTTGTCTGTTTCTGGTTGGCTTAACATTTTTTTTCCTCCATCTCATATTCCTCATTTTTTTAAACTCGGAAGTTATCTCCCATTTACGCCCTCGTTTTTTTCCTCTCGTCTAAATTCCCCATCCCAAATTCTTTGTCATCGTTTAATCGCTACCACCCTCTATCAATCACCGTGTGATCTCTGGCCGTGTCCCAACCTTTGTCCCCGCAAGTCTCCGTGTGCGCGCGCATCCGTCTATCCGGGTATCTCCAAGCGGAGATCACTCTCGTAAATCAACTCTATTTTTACCACTATGTTAGTATTCTAACTGATAAAAATGTTTCTATTTTTACTAAAGCAAAAGTTAAATTAATAGTTCCGGTATGTTCAAGGTTAGTGCCTGTGAACACAATCAATGGACTGTAACAGTCGCTATGTCCACCAACCCCCCCCCCCCTCCCCGGAGAAACCCTATGCATGATAGGCATTTATTATTATAACTATTTTTACTTTTATTACTGCTACTATTATTATTAAAAACAGCCTAGTCAACAGAATTTACTGTGTGTGGTGGGGCTATAGACATAATGAAGGCTGCATGATATAATGTGTGGGGGGCGTTTATAAATGAAGGCTGCATGATATAATGTGTGGGGGCCGTATATAAATGAAGGCTGCATGATATAATGTGTGGGGGCCGTGTAGATATAAAGGCTACTAAATCACACAATGACTAAAGTTTGTGTATGAGTTAACTGTTAACAGTACCAAATGGTTTAGATCCCACAGTGTGTCTAGTCGCAGACCCACCCCCCCCCCCCGCCCACCCCTGGCAGACCTCGAGTGTGCACGTGACAAAGGTCTTACATCACTTCCTGTATTTAGGTCAGCCGGTGGCATGGATCTCTTTTATTTACTTTTTTTTTTGGCAGCCACGTAATGCCGGGATAAAATGGCTGCCAGGCCACTTCCTGTCCCAGAAAATCTAGACAAAACAAACGAGCCTGTCTGTGCATTGTTCTCCCTGCTTGCAAGCGGCTCTGGTTGGGGGCTTAATTAGATCCCGGCTTCTGAAATCTCCCCGGGGGGTGGGGGACGGGGGTGAGAAAATCATAGATCCACACAACCTAAAAATATCTTTAAGATTTTAAAAATAAACAGTAAACCTTTTAAGAGTAATAGTTGTTTGGTTTACTGTATTATTCACAGCTCGAAGTTTCGAACTAATGTCAACATTGGGTGAAAGGGGGGAGGGGGGCTCTTAAATTTAAAAAATTCTTGTAAAATGTATAAAAATGTATAATATATTATATATTATTCGCTACTTCACAAAACAGCTTGCAAATGGGGGGGGGGGGGGTATTAAATTCGAATATATCTTGTAAAATGTATAAAAATGTATAAAACATGTTACTCACTACTTCACATAACAGCTTGCAGATGATAGGACTCACAGAGGGCCTAAATTCTCGGCTTACACCGTCACACGGCCCCCACCCGTCGTGTGGTTTAGTCAGACAAGACATCCACCCCCTCCACCACCCCTCCCCTATCTCAACCCCATTCAGTAACATACCACACAATGTGATTATTTTTAGGTTACGTTTTGCATAATGTTGTTTTACATGTTGCAGCTGCTGAAATTTATCAAGTTTAGGGATGGCCTTGGGCCTCAGGGTCGGGGAAGGGGGGGGGTAAGGGAGGAATGGGGGTAGATGATTGGGGAGCGGGGGTCCATTATCCCTTGAGCAATGAGGGAGGGGTTTTGTCGGTGAGGCGTAAGGGGCGGTTATCCTGGGGGTTTCAGGACAAGGAAAATAACTCTGGTGTCAGTTTTAATTACATGACACAAGATGTAACGCCGCCAAGTGTGTTTTAATATCATGTTTATCTCCCCTTACCGCCACTCGCACAATCTCGCGAGGCTTAGCTCTGCGCATGACAAAAAAAAGGGCTAAATCTGAATGTTAACAAATAAGAATTGGTGTAACCGTATCACAATGTAATCAATAAAATCTTACTTTTTTTACAAGCGTTTATTTAATAAAGATAAAACGATTTGACTATTGATTTAAAGTCACGTGTTCTGGGTACAATGCTCTGTTGGGGGGGGGGGGGGGGGTGACGCACAGTGACCGAGGAAAATAAAGTTCTCGTGTCATTCGCGAGACGCCCAAGTTTGATTACAACAATTCTGGGAGGATAGAATAAAAGAGTCGCACAATTGTGTGTGTGTGTTGCATGAAGTTAATTGGTGTAATTAATTCATTAAAAGAAAAAAAAAGTCTTGTTCGGATGTGCATTGAGCACGGCCGAGCTTTGACATTTAATTTCTCGTGTACAGGCGGGCTTTTAATGGGCTTTTAATGGGTTTTTTGTATGTTGTAGAATAAAGGGCTCGTTGCAGACCGAATAACCAGATGTATTTAACAAAGGTGTTAATCTGGGGTATATACATGTATCTCTCTCTCTCCTCTCTCTCTCTCTCTCTCTCTCTCTCTCTCTATATATATATATATATATATATATATATATATATATATATATATATATATATATATATATATATATATATATATATATATATATATAATATATAGATAGATAGATAGAGATATATGAATAGAGAGAGAGAGAGAGAGTTAGCTCGGATAATTAATATTAATTAAGGCTAATTGACAGCACATGTTAGTTAACTACCTTCCTAAGTGCGCACCAATTAACCCGGCGATCGTTACACATCTGGTTAATCTCAACGGTCGTCTAGCCTGGGTAGGTCCGTGTGAGAACATTTTAGATATCAAGGTCAAGGCTGTATGCAAATCTCTGGGCAGGGTGAAGGTTGTATGTGAAGGCTATATGTGGATGTCTAGTGGGGTCAAGGTGAAATATGTGATAATTGTGTGTCTCGTCTTTACGTGCCACCCCCCCCCCCCACACCACACATGGACTCTACCACTGTCTAAACTAGCACTGACCTATTGATTTGCCCCCCCCCCCCCCACCACCACACATGGACTTCACCCCTGCCTAAAATTAGCACTGACCAATTGTTTTGCTCACCTTACAGGTACATGAAGACCGTCACAGAGTCGAGCATCATCGGCCAGGTGAAAAGTAACCTCGAGGTCAAGGTGTCCTTGATTCCAGACTCCAACCTCCTGGCGGTCAAGCAGACCTTGGACCGTCTGAAACACGTAAGTCTTTAGTTATACTAGCAGTGGTACACCGGGTGAGGTGGGGGGGGGGGGGGGGGGAGGTACAGTGCAGTGTGTCACCCAACCTTGTGACGCCACGCACCGATACCGTAATTTTCTCGCAGTCTTTTAATCTAGCAATCTTTTATTGTTATCTTTTCCTTACTAACCCAACCTTTGCTATAATCGATGTAAGGGCTTACGACACTGTTTGGTCTATGAAAAGTCTAGTCATGTTAGCGTATCGTTAGAATTTTTTTTTCTTTTTGTGTTTTAGCTACGTTCTAAAGTATTTTATATCGCATTGTCAAATATGCCTTCTTATGAAATATGGATCTTTGCTTTTCAAGTAATTTCCGGTGTTAGGCGGGGGAAGGGAAGTAAGCGCTGCGCTAACTTCATTTACTCTTTAGTAGTCGGAGTGACCTCCCCTGAGAAATCTTATGCCTCTTAATAATTGCATTATCTGTGTCTAGAAAATTTAGCTAGATTTTTTTTTTTCTGAAAGAAAAATGAACGAAGCTTTAAGAAATGAACTGTCTCAAGTAGACAGTTCATAAATTGTAAAAGAAAAAAGTATATTTAAAGTAAAAAAATGGTAATAACTCAAAGGTTAAACAAGCTTATCTCTGCCATAGTCAATGAGCATGAACCTCTAACAAATGAGGTCAGTTCGTGAACACACACCTGTCATTTGTTTTGTGACCTCTCACCTGTAACATGTGTTTATGAATTGCCCACCTGCGGAACGCCCACCTGTAACATCTGAAGTCAATTACCTGTAACATATGAAGTCAATTACCTGTAACATATGAGACCAGTAACTAATCCTCTATAACTTGAGTTTAGTGAGTGAACACTGACTTGTAACATTTGTACATTTGAAGTTAATGACAATTTACCTGTAAAAATTGTGAACAAACAAAACAATTTACCTGTCATGAGCCACTGTGGTTAACTTCATATCACAACCTGCAATCCCTCTTGTTTGTATCACAATCTCCAGTCCTTGTTGTTTATATCAGAATCTTCAGTCCCTGTTGTTTATATCAGAATCTCCAGTCCCTGTTGTTTATATCAGAATCTTCAGTCCCTGTTGTTTATATCAGAATCTCCAGTCACTGTTGTTTATATCATAATCCACAGTCCCTGTTGTTTATTTATATCAGAATCTCCAGTCCCTGTTGTTTATATCAGAATCTTCAGTCCCTGTTTTTTATATCAAAATCAACAGTCCCTGTTGTTTGTTTATATCAGAATCTTGAGTCCCTGTTGTTTATATCAGAATCTTCAGTCCCTGTTGTTTATATCAGAATCTTCAGTCCCTATTGTTTATATCAGAATTCTTCAGTCCCTTTTGTTTATTTATATCAAAATCTTCAGTCCCTGTTGTTTATATCAGAATCTTCAGTCCCTGTTGTTTATATCAGAATCTTCAGTCCCTGTTGTTTATATCAGAATCTTCAGTCCCTGTTGTTTATATCAGAATCTTCAGTCCCTGTTGTTTATATCAGAATCTTCAGTCCCTGTTGTTTATTTATATCAAAATCTTCAGTCCCTGTTGTTTATATGAGAATCTCCAATCCCTTTTGTTTATATCAGAATCTCCAATCCCTGTTGAACGAAGAACTGATGGTCAACGACGGATCCTATGACACCGTGGAGGGGAGCGCTGACGGTGCTCACATAACAGATGACGTGCCAGGTGACGACGAGGACATGTCAAGAGGCCCATCAGGTGATGGCAGTGGCAGTGGTGATGGCATGATCACCCCCGACACACAAGATGAAGGTGAGTACACCTGGATTGACAGTTTTTGTAAAACCAAGTCAAGGGTCCCTTCAGTCTGTTGGCCAATAGTTAAAAATAGTTAAAAATTAACTCTTCTGGTGGAGTTAAAAAATAAATTGTGAGGTAGAACTGGAAAACGTTACAATATTATATGCTGAAGTCTAGATGTAATGGGTATTTATAGATGGAAGACTTTTTTTTTAATGTTTACTTTTTAATAGCTAAAGGGAGACAACTAACAAAATATTGTCAATTATCTGCTCATCAAATACAATTGATCTAATGTAATGTTTTTTTTTCCTACCTGAAGTTAAGACACCAACACCAACAACCACCACAAGACACCCCCACATCGTAAAAACAACAGAGAAGCAAAGGGGCTCTGCAGTTTCAGCATCAGTGTCTGTCCTGATGCTACTAGCCTGCGGTATGCTAGCCGCAATATTGAGCTTATAACGTCATGCTCTGGAGGTGTGCCTGGGAGAATGGGGGACGAAATGCAAGATGACAAGACATTTTGTGCCTGTGTGAAAAGTTTAAAAAGGTTTGGTGATTGTGATGGTGCGGTGATTGTGATGGTGTGGTGATTGTGGGGTTGCGGAGTGTGAAATTGTTTTATCTATTTAATCTAGAACTCTGATGTACACTTACGTCTTGCCGTCAATTGTTGCTTCCATATTGAAGGTGTGGACTAGAATTTAATTACAACAATTAGGGATCTTTCTTCCATGGTTGCTAAGGACAGTGACTCTAAACAAGTTCAATGAAATAGTCTGCTACAGTTGTCCCTTTACAAGTAGACTAATTGTAAACTATAGTTTGCTTACTTTGTTGTGGTACTTGATATATATTAACCCATCGATTCTGATTTATAAACTGTGTTTCATTACTTCAATATATTTATATTTGATAAACTTATTGATCAAGTGGATTAAGGTTTCCTGTGTATATTTTTTCTGATGTTTTTCATTCAAATTTAATTAAGCAGCTGTGTTCACTGTCCTTCTGCCCCTTTCCTATTTCCTGTAAATGTTTTTCAATTACCGGATATTTTCAATGACAAACCTTGTTCTGTTGTCCAATGCTGTTGCAATATTTGAAATATTTACTGTTTTCACACAATAGGGGAAAATTTTTTTTAAACTTCAAATAATCGCTAATCTATAAAAAAAAAAATTCTAAAGTTGGTCATAAATTTTTTTGTAATTCAAAAATTTATCTCTAAAGTTCACCATTTTAGTGTGTTACATCTTTTCTATGTTGGGTGGAAATGTGTAGAAGTTTTTTGCTTTGAAAGGTACACTACATATCTAAACCTGTTGTGTCAAAACATGGATGCTAATTTTAAACATTTATTGAAGGAACCCATTGTTTAAGTTTTGCTTTCTTTTGCTTAGGGCTTAAAAATTCTGTTTTTTTTAAGCAGAATAATTTATGGAACAAATGAGAACACATTTAGTGAATGATTTGAATGGACCTTACGACTGTATGAGTTGAATATTTAAGTGAATGAACTGAAGCATCTGGCATGTTATTTAACATTTTTTTAGCATTGCATATTATAGTATTTTTCTATGTGATATCACAAGGACCTTGTACATAGAAAAGAGAAAAAAAAATTGTGTGTATGTTTTAGTTTTGACATTGTAAATTTTTCATACTTTTAATCATCAATTGTATTTTTTAATTTTTACATTAAGGATGTAAACTGAATATGTTGCACTGGATAATATTTAAAAAAATAAGTATGTGGGTTTGAAATCAGAGACAGTGATGTTTAATTTTATTTACAAATTACACAAAAAGAAAAAGTTAAAATTTTAAAATGTATTTATCGATTTAAAAAAAAATCATTTCAACATTTGTATTTTAGACAATAATTAATTATTTATTTCTTATATGACGAGATTTCTAAACATACTTTGTTTTTTAAATCATACAGTGTTTCATAGATTATAACATAGAAAAGTAACTTGCATTTATTGTAAATAATTAGGCTTGTTTACTTGTTAAATGTAAGAGTTATTTTAAAAGTTCACTTGTGAATTTTAAACTATATCATTCTGGCCTTTGTAAACAAATTTTTTAGAGATTCAATGGAAATTACCTTTTAAATTGTAAATTTTGTTCCAAATTTTTTAGACAGTAATCTTATTAGAAATATATATACTTTGTATATTGTTATTTTATCACATAAACATATATGGATGTGAAAGTGTTCTTCAATAATAACTTGTATTTGTATACACTTGTTTTAAAATAATTTTTAGAGAAATTCACCAAAAAAAATTATTTATGTGTTAAAGTTTATAAGTTTGTATATTCTTTTCATGTAAATTGTTCTGTATTTTCACTGATCATTCATTCATTCCTGTTAAATACAAAAATCAGAACTGATTCTGATAGACTAAAATGGATATTGATAGGTAAGTCCGGAATTTTATTTCAGATTTTATAGGGGTTAGTTTTTGTAAATAATTTAACTCAATAAAATATTCATATTAATCCATGAAAACGGTATAAAATTGTAAATGAAAGAATTGTTATTATAGTACAAGTATTTCGAGGTAATATGTGAAAAAAAAAGTCTTATTATGAAGGAAGAGTTGCCAGTTATGTCCCTCATACTAGTGAACTACAACCAGGGGACTGCAATCAAGTCTTTCATGTTTGCATTATTCTCTCTGCTTGGAGTTGCTGCACTTTATGTCCAATTTACATTAAATGTACAATTTCATGTGTTTTTTTTTGTTTTGTTTCATACAGTTGTATTTTTAAGAACATAGTATTTTAATTGATAATTTTAGAGTATATTGTAACTTATAATTTATTTTATAACAAAATTTAATCAAGCACACACCACATCGAAATACACCAAGGTCAGTGGTTCTTAACCTTTTTGCGCATTCACTGAACCCTTCTTAACTGTTTGATTGCCCGTACTGGCAAAATCTGATTGTGAACCGTATGAGTTGGGGTGTGTGTTGACCTCAGCCGAACCGCTGGTGTTCAATTGAACCTAGGTTAAGAATCACTGTTATAAGTGTATATGCTGCTCCTTTAGCTATTTGTTATAGTTTATATAAACAGAAATCTAAAAGACTTTACTTGAAAATAATTGTATCTGAATATTAATTATAAACTATTGTAATCTTTCATTGTAACATATTACCATGCAGTTTTTTTTTTGTCTGTGTAAATTATGACTTAGTAGTGTTACAATCTTTTGTTGTTTAGTCCAGTATACTCACTATACTGTATTTAAAATGTAAGTCATTGTAAATAAATAAATATTTTTTGCTATCATTTATTGTTCTGTTATAGTAAAAAAAAAAAAATATACAACAGAATTATTGTGACTTGTTGAGTGCCCTCTCTCATCATTAAGAATAAAAAGCCTAGTCACTTGGTATAAAGTGGAACAAATCTACATATTTTTAAAATTCACAAAGTTTAATAAATAGTAAATAGAGTTCAAAATGGATGCACTAGGTATTGTCAAAAGGAAAATAAAATAAGAATTTATTCTAGGTTCCATTTTGGTACTTGTTATTTTTTAAGTAAATATTATAAAACTAGAATTTTAACCTCCCCTTCTATTATCTAACATCAAGGAGTTATAACTCTTGATGGGGCGTTCCTGCATAATGAATTGTTGAATTTAAAATAAAATTTTCAATAATTGTAATATTTTTAGGTAAATTGCTTGGAGTTAATAGAAAATTTTGTTGTTACATATTAATCCAGCTCTTCTCAACAGCACACATTTCAAAGTTGTTTTTCAAAAAAACCAAAAGTATTACTCAATTACCACCCAACATTTAAACATCACCCTTCATGTTACTTATGACATCACGCCAGTATTTGAGCAAGTTAAAATAATGAATTTGGCTCTATAATAGTGCAGATAGTACAGTATTGTTTACTCAACAGTACATGTTTTGGGTAAAAACCTTTCCAACAGTTACGATCTGTAGCTATTGCATTTTAAGTTGTCAAACTAAACAAACTAATTTAATCTATTGATTAACCATGCATTTTTATTTTGTAAATTAGCTTTGTTAAAAGTAAAAAATTTAAGAGCAAAAATATTTTATGTGAAAGTCATGATAAAATAAAATTTAAAAACAGATTCTCTTTGAACATGTCAGAAAGTGTTCAATGAAAGAATTGAACACAAGTCGTTTGATTTAATTATTCATCCAGGGACTGAACTACCATATTCCCATGCACCTTGATAATGGTTTTGGAAAAAACAGATCTACTACAGTAACTTTACACCAACTGTTGTGAAAAACAAAAACTACATGAGCTGTAGTGTGCAAGATAGGCAAACCTTTAAACCACTTCCATGACTTAATTGCTCTCCTATAAGTAGTCTAATAGGGGTGTCCATAAAGGCTCAGTTAAACAGTTTAGTACCAAGCAAATTAAAAAGCCATTGTTTCTATTAAAAAGTTAATAAGTAGTTATTTTTTAAATAAGGCATACCAAAGAATGACAGCTATTTATTTAAGGAATTTCCTAAAAATTTAAATACAAAAATAACGAATAAAAGAGGAAGAAACATTATATTTGTCAAGCTTCTGTGTGTCATAACATTTTGTTTCTACCCTGAGCCTGTACATACAACTGGCCTCTACAGTTGGCACAAATCCTGACTGTCACAAGTATTCAAACCTGTCACAATGTGGGTTTGATTTGTTATGCAGAAAAACAACAGGAATGTTCATACACTATTTACATGAAGAACACTATTCCATATCCATGAGTTAATCTAGTCCTACTCGATTCACTTGCTGTATAGGGTAAAATATTTAGACAATAAGGGGTTAATCTAATCCTTTAACTTGGCCTAGAAGGCTAAAAATAGGTGTAAAAGGTCTGAGTGGTCAAGTTCTTAGGCAGAGATGTTTACATCAAATGTGTTCTAGCTCATCCCAGCACTTTTAAACACAATCACAAAAGAAAAGTTACATCAAAATTATTTTTTTTTTAAAATTCAGTACACTTTATTTTGTAAAGTACAGTAAACGATTAGCAAAATTTTACAATTTTTTGGGTCATATTTTTTATTTATTTTTATTTCCTGGCATGGGTAACTCTTGTTTTTAAAATACAAAGCAATAACATGAGTACTTAAAAGACCTATCTAAGTTTACCATTATTTCCTAACATTTACCATCCACTCCTAACTTCCAGCTTTTAATAACGTAACACAATCAGATAAAAGTGAGTCTTGTCCTGGCATTGTTCACCTGCCATACGTTGAGATCCTCGTACTCCTCAATACACACGTGTACGCGGTCAGGCTTGAAGCCTTTGCTGGTGCACAGCTCCATGACGTCGGAGAGCTTGACAGACTTGACGCCAGCTGCTGGCATCATGTCACGGATGATCTGGTAGATCTGGTCTGTTGGGTTGATGCTCCTGGTGGTATAAAAGTATGAATATCATCCATGGGTAGAACACAAATGTGAAGAATATCATCAATGGGTAGAACACAAATGTGAAACCTATAACTACCTTCTCTTTAACAGTCAAAAGTTATACTGCCATAATAAAATTTAGATGTTTTGTAAAGATGTTATTCGATAGACTTAGTACACAATAATAAATTTTTTTGCTGTGTCCATTTTAATTATAAGGATAAATATATTTAACAAAGCAAAAGTTCAACTATTTTATAACTTTTTTTCGTGCATACAAGAGACAGGAAGAGGTTGGAGTGGGGGGAGAAGAAAGGATTACGGGAATAATGGCAGGAGGAGATTATCTTAACTGATATTTCCTGCCTGTGTATTTAAAAAAAAGATTTTCCTTACTTAGTATGTGCATCATGCATATTATTGAGAGAATCTCTTGACATCTCCATAAGGCGCATTGCCTCGTTCACATCCTCCTTCTCAACTGTGTCCCCTAGACGAAGGCGAGCCAAAGCTGTGGCCAGACGCAAGATTGCCAACAGTGTACGTGCAGAGGTGAAGGTCATGTCTTTGTTGTTGCGTGCCTCTTTCCTCATCTCAACGTATGCTCCCGTGATGTACTCGGCTAGCGATTCCGGAACAGTTGGGTTCTTAGACTTGCAGAGGCTAATATAGCGCCTGGAATCAAAGTTTATAACTTTAAATAATTGTGGTGCATGGTAGTGGTTTAGGAAACAAAAAATTGTTCTTCGTACTTGAAGCTAGGAACATTTTTATAACTATTAGCTGCTTCAAACATGTTTATTTTTCAACACAAACTACCTATGTAGTTTGAGTATGTACGTGAGGACTTTAAGTATGTCTACTCTTTATGTTATGGGACCAATCACGAACAATGTAGCATTCTCAAAACAAAACGACTCAGATGGTCGTGACATTGTCATCAATGTACAGAACAAACAAAAGATTAAAAACTACAGCCAAAATACCTCATGAGCTTCATATCCAGAGGTTGAAATGTGAGAGGAGGGTGGACATTATGTTGATGCACATAAGTGATATGCTGAGCTAGTCTGTTGAAAGTTTCAAAAAATTTACAATTTAGTTATCAGTGAATAATATTTTTTTTTTACATATTTTTAATTAAAAATTAATGAGTTGACTAATTTACCTGAGATCGTTATCCCGCTCTGGCTTGTCCTGCATAAGCCACAGCAGGTCAAACCTGGACAACAGGGCAGCAGGGAGCTGAATGTTTTGTTCTACAGACTTGCGGGGGTTGTAGCGACCATAAGCCGGATTGGCGGCGGCTAAGATGGACACGCGAGCATTGAGACTTGTCATGATACCAGCCTAGGGAAGAAATTTATCATTTTTTTTTACAGTGACTTAAAATTTAGTTTAAAACAGATGTGGAAAAAATAGCCATAAGTTATTATTTTTATTTTGGTAAAATGGATTTCCAAACTTTCAATTCAATTTATTTAAAGAACATACAAGTTTTTGAAAATATGAAACCAAATACTTAAAGAAAGACTCTTGGTTACCTTAGCTATAGAGATAGTTTGTTGTTCCAAAGTTTTTATTTTCATTTTGGTAAAATAGATTTCCTAACTTTCAATTTAATTTGTTATTTAAAGAACAAACAAGTTTTTGAAAAAAAAAATTTAAAAAATCCAAACATTTAAAGAAGCTCTTGGTTACCTTAGCTATAGAGATAGTTTGCTGTTCCATGACCTCATGAATTGCCGTCCTGTCACTGTCCATCATCTTGTCAAACTCATCAATACAACACACCCCCTCGTCAGCCAGGACAAGAGCCCCGCCCTCAAGCATCATCTCCCCAGTGATTGGGTCTTTCATGACAGAAGCTGTTAGACCAACTCCTGATGACCCTCGGCCAGTTGTGTACTGACCTGTAAATACAACAAAACAGGTGAGAAACTGATCCATTGGAAAAACTAGCTGACAGTGTCAGTCGTTGGGGGACTAATGATTAGCACTAGCTGACAATTTCAGTGGTTGGGGGACAAATGATTATCACTTGAGGTTCCAGTCTGAATAGGCAAACTAAATGAGTTGCAAAGCAGGGCACATCTTTCATTTGTGGGCTAATCTATTGGTGTATGAAAACAGGAAACTTACTGCAATAGGTTAATCAATCAAAGTATGGAAGCAGGAAATAACTTACTGCGATGGGCTAGTCTATCAATGTATGAGAGAAGCTGAGATTTTGCCACTCCAGGGTCCCCCATGAGACAGATGTTGATGTTGCCTAAAAAAGATTAACTTTATTTGTATAATTCATGTACATGAAATAACAAACAAAACAAGAAAGGTTGATGTTCAACTAATATATATACATTTACATATACATTTTATCACATGTGTATACTGACTAAACTATATATATCACCCTAATTCTATCAAATGCAGACTGTTTATTTTGATCACATTGTTCATGATTGAAAAAGAATTCCACACAGGGCCCACTTCTTCTTCTTCTTCTTCGTTCTTAATTATTAGTGTTGAAGGGGATCGAGATTTATCTGCCAGTGGGTTTGAACTCGAGACTTTGTTCGAATTTATCAACCATGACTCGACCACGCCTCCAACACAATTAAGCGTTACGTGTCAACTGGTTATGCGCCATTGAGGCCATTGACTCCGATTTCAGCCTGCTTTTCTTTTTGGATTTGCTTCCATAGCCTTTGTCCAACCAAGAACAAACTACAAGGCAGCAATTGTTTAAATTTTGGAGTTGTCTCTCCTAGAAGAGTGGCTGTCCCCAGCTAACGAGCCTCATCTGCCCGAGGGTTGAACTCGAGACTTTTCGGTTTAGCAACCATGAGCTTTACCGACTCGACCACGCCGACCCCTACAGGGCCCACTGAAAGTACTTAAACATGCGTGAATAAACTTTTTAAAGTGTACATAGTCATCACCATGGCTTTTAAAAAAGCCACCACAGATCACAGATGTCATTTGTAATTAACAGCTGAATATCTTTTTGTACTAGCAACTTTCTAATATCCTCATTAAATGAAAGTTCTTTTTTTTAAAAATGGTAGTTTTACAGCTAAACTACTGAGAGAATAAATGTTTTCCTATATCTCTGGGTCAATGGCACTTAAACATTTTAATGTCTTGTTCTAGAGAGGAAATTTTGTCTGCATGTATTTTGCCACACTGACAAACGCTTTCTGCACTAAAGGCTTTGTCTTGTGGAACCTCTGTTGCCATGCCACAGTATAGTGGGGACTTATTTTAAAAGATTTCAGGGTTATCCGTATCTAAGTTAGCAAGGCCTGAAAAACGTAACTGGTTATCACTTCTGGTTTCATAAAACAAAACAAGTATTCTCATGAGCTGTTCTTGCTCATCAAGGAGTAGGTGGGTATTTGACTTCTTGGATTCAAAACAAAGCCAAAAGATTTAAAAAGAGGTAGAACACTTAAATACATTGAAGTTTATAATTCGGTTGAAGGAGGGATTGCCTTGTAAATTAAAGCTTCTCACAAATTCTGATCTTCCTTGTCTTTTCAGCAGGGCTTAATGTTTTCTGTATGGTTTTTAATATTGTGAATATTCTTTTTCTGCCTTTTTCTTGACAATATCAACCATCTTATCACTTGTATTCAGCCAGGCAGAGCGACAAAAAGTTTACTAGGCTCATAATGCAATCTAGTACAGAGAGCCGCCCATGTACAACTCTTTCTTTTTGCCTATTATACCGAATGTCTAATGTGAGCCCAAATCTGTACCATAAATCAAGAAGTCTTTCTGCAAAACTATTCAAGTGATGACAAAAACATTTCACAATATTGACCAATACATTTGGTGCTATGGCTTCACATTTAAACAGCTGTAAAAAACATTTGTACGTACCTCTGATCTTCATTCCTTTAGGTGATTTATCAACACCACCCACCAGCAACAATAGCAGAGCTTTCTTCACATCAGAATGGCCGTAGATTTCAGGGGCAATACTTGTGGCCAATTTCTCATAAAATGTGTCCTCTGATAATTTTATTAGAAACTTAAAGTTAGAATCATAAGCAAACATTAAAAACACGAAACTGTTCTGTACACCGTTTTTAAGTGATCTTACCTGCTACAAGGCTTAGCTCCTCTGGTGTTAAATCTTGTCCATCATTGATGTCATCTTCTGTTTTATTGAGCTGCACTATTCTCTAGAAAAAAAATTTATTAACATTTTTAATAATTGAGAAAACTCATTAAAACAGTTTTAAATGGAGGTTAATATTTTTTTGCTTTAAATTCAACCACTTATCATGTAGCAATAGTTCTGATACTTTCATAATGCTCTTTGAGATAATATAACTCACATGTGCTTCAAGAAATGTTTCAGATAGAAGGCCTTGAGCAATCTGCTGGAAACCTTGGCGCATGAGAGGAAGAAATATCTAAACAGCTGTTAAAGAATAATTTCTCAGTAACAAAAACTGCATAATGTTGACATAAACAACTTGAGTTATGGACTTAATAAATCCATATAATAAATTTTCTAAAACAAGAATGTGTTCTATCTCTGGATAAACTGTCGCTTAAACCAGTTGTTCAAGAAATAAAATAACAGATGCTATCATGAATGGAAAACAACACTCAAATCATGGGCTTAAACCAGTTGTTCAAGAAATAAAATAACAGATGCTATCATGAATGGAAAACAACACTCAAATCATGGGCTTAAACCAGTTGTTCAAGAAATAAAATAACAGATGCTATCATGAATGGAAAACAACACTCAAATCATGGGCTTAAACCAGTTGTTCAAGAAATAAAATAACAGATGCTATCATGAATGGAAAACAACACTCAAATCATGGGCTTAAACCAGTTGTTCAAGAAATAAAATAACAGATGCTATCATGAATGGAAAACAACACTCAAATCATGGGCTTAAACCAGTTGTTCAAGAAATAAAATAACAGATGCTATCATGAATAGAAAACAACACTCAAAACGTAAATATATAAGCTGCTAAACACTATGTAATTTGAATCTATTTTGAAAGGATACACCAGTAACACAGACATGATCCCCAGGCTGACATTTGCGTGTTGTTTCACCTCGGCAATAAATTGTCATTGAGCGAGGAATGTTGCCAACTGGTACTTGGTCACTCTGAAAAATTGAATGTCATCCATAAATATTTGTTTGAACACCATCTATAAATATTTGTTACCTGAAGTTTAAAATAGTTTTTTCGCACTAATAGCTAAAGAATTAAGGCTGAAAATAAAACCCACATGTTCTTGTATTTTGACTTCTTGAAATTTGACAAATTTTGAGCCGCGGGTTTGTAGATAGAGACGGCCCCCAGATCTGTTGGTGGTGCAAGCTTGACTTGGGCACATGAGCATGGGCATGAAGGATGTGCTGGTGATCTAAAGACAACAAATAAACTCATCAGACAAGTGAACAGCTAAACAAAACAACAAAATATTTCAGAGGCAAGCAGTAGACAGGCCTACACTTTGCTTAAGTGCAGGTGCAGCCCTTGCTAAAATACAGGGTTTGACCTTGCTCAGCTAGTTAGGGCTTTAGTCTGACCCATAAAAGTTCAGTCAAAAGTATGTGTAGGATAGTAATCATGGCAGGAGTATCGAGTCTATGCTATGCTACCTTTTCAAATAACAACCGCTGGTCAAAGGAGACATCTAAGAATTACGTACGTAAGAATGTTTGGACTTTGTTTATATTTAACAGAAAAAATTAATAACTGTATTGACAAAATTATTTGTATCTTGTCATTTATTGTCAGCAATTTCTAGAAAATGCTTTTAAAATATTTTTCACAACACCACAATATGAGCTTCAGTATAAGTAACTTAACATAAAATTATTAAAATAAACCTCACTGGCTGGTAAGTTTCATTGCCGCATGTGTCGCAAGTGTATGTAGCCACTACCATCATTGGCTTGACCTCTGTTGTTCGCGTGACGATACCTTTTACAGACACCAGCTTGCCTATACTGCTTGCTTTTATTTCTCGAATAGACGCAAACTTTTGTTGGGTAGGTGCCTTGAAATAGATCTCACTGAAATAAACAACAACTTGATACTAAAGCTCATATTTTTAACTAATGGATCTTTTATAAAATCATCATATGGCAACATAAAAAAAATGAATAATTATTAATATACATTTAATAAACAAATAGTAGCTACCTAAAAAAAACAACAACAAAGGACTAGAAAGTAAAATCGACAATTGAATAGTTAATGTGAATAACCCAAGAATTTGATGCCTTGAAAAGTAAGCTGTAAGCATCATTATTCATGGAACAAAAACCTCCATTTTCATATAGATGACAAAACACTCATTAACTCACAATCTTCTAATTAATTCGGGTGGATAACGAGTTCTTGGGTCCCTGGTAACTTCAGAATCAGCTGGGTGGTTCCTCTGCTCCATGAGGAGCCTGTGTTCAATGTAAACATCCAGGGCATCTCTGTTCTGAACCTGAGTCATACATTAAAATAAAATTTGTATTTAATCACATTATTATTTAATCTATTGAGAAACATATTAAGTTTTTTTATTAACATTTTTTGTTATTAATCCTTGACTTTAGTTTTAAAATATTCTTATAGTAGTAATTTTACTGTAGTAATTTTAAAAAAACTGAAATTTAAAAAAATTAAGATTTACCTCTCTTGTTTTAAATTCAGGCAAAAGTTCATGGACAACCTCACCAAAAATCTGGACATATCTTCTGCTGTTCTCTAGAACAGAATCTGCCAGATCTGGGTCAAAGTCTGAGAGATGATCAACATCTACAGTCAGTGCCACCTGCTCTCTGTGGGCTATCTTTGTCTGCAAGAAAAAAAAATTTAAACCATTAATTTTTTATCCATTGATTACTCAATACTGCTGGAATCAAACTTTTAATAATTTTAAAAAGAATCGAACCGATATTGTAGCCACTTTACCTAGAGCCTATTATAATTTATGAAAATACTAGCTGCATAACATAAAAAGGAGGTGGTTGTCTTGTACTGTGACAACCGTTATTTAAATGCAGTGTTTCTTTCTGACTTTTTTCTCCGAGGGGTGGGGAGGGGGGGAAGAGACACGTAAGACAACTAAATTTTACAGGGACGCAGACACTGGAAAAAGTATATATTTTCTATAGGCCTATGAATTCCATTTCGTTTGGGGGTGGGGGGGGGGGGGGATTTTTTAGGTAGTCCCCTTCTTTTAAGAAATGCCTGAAAGAAACTGTTTAAATGGGATCAAGTCTAGTTTCCACTAAATATGAAAAAACAGGACATGGGGCCCATTTAAAAATTATTTTTTTACAAATCAAACATACCAGCTGTTTGGAGTATACATGGTCTTTGTTCCCATCACTGTCATCTGTGTAGTATTCCTTTAAGAATGTTGTTACTTTTGCTAGAGGAAAAATTAGAAAAATTTAACTACACCCAGGTTTCACCATTTGTCTATATAGATCTAGTAGTAGATCTATATAGTTTATAGATCTAGATCTATGACAAGAAAACAATCACCATTTGTCAAAATGACAATGTGCTTCAAACAAGTGTTGGTACATGGGAGACAAAAACTTAATCAGTAGGCTATAGTGTAATGAATAATGTGAGATACAGTTGCAGAATCACCCAGTAAATATGATATATCGAGTAGGCCCCCTGCCCCTAGATTTAGTAAACTAGACAGAGACTGGGAATACTGAGATAAAGGTCCTAAATGCTGGGAATTAATTTTGGATGATTACCTACTAGATCTAGATCTATCTAATAAGTAGATGTCTAGTTCTTGATCTAGAATCTAGATTTGAACTTACGTAGATCTACGCGGTTACACTACACACAGTACACAGCTGAGTACGGAGTACACTGTACTCAGTACAGTGAGTAGGAATATGCTTAAAAAAACTACGACACACACTATCATCTATGACTATATATACAGCACAGAGGGACACAGAGTCAGAGTGTTGAATTTACAAATAATTCAATGTAACAATCTCAGTGTCCGTGGCTCTAATAGATTAGGCCTACTCACTGTGTGTGTACTCTAGCTTTAACTACTTTAAACACACCTTTGTCAGCACCGTAATCTTTAGGGGCCATTTGTTGTATGTTGCCACACTAAATCAAGATCCAGTTGTAGGGCAGTGAATTGTAATATAGAACTAACAACAAACAACGCGGCGCGCCAAATTTAGGGTCACGTGACCCGTGGACTAGTTGGGCCATAACTATGATAATTTCTTGATTTCCCCCACACTTGTATCGCTTCCCTTTATTTTAACTTTCATTTTTCTTGCTATGGCCGAAAAATAAAATGTAAATAATTCGGATCTCAAAAAGTACATAATATGCAACATTAAAGGGCATTTTGTACTCACCCTACCATTTCTATAGGCAATATTTAAAATTTTAGTTAAACGCCTATATTAAGAGCATTTGAATTATTAATAAATATGGGGTCGTCCATAAATGACGTCACACTCGTATGGGAAGGGGGGGGGGTCCGCAATTTTGTGACGGTGTGTGATGAGGGGGAGGGGGGGGGGTGTTAAGATGGTGCGACGTCACACTGTTGTATTATAAAAAAGCAATGTTAGAAAACGAATTTTAGACGTTATTTCGCGTTTTAGAAAACTGTTTTAATAAATTGTAATAGGAATTGATTAACATACTCTATTTTGACAGAGTTCAGACAAGATTTTAGAAAAATATCGATGTTTAAAAAAAATTCAACTGCAATTTTTAGGGGGGTTGTAGGCTGAGGTGTGACGTCATTTTAGGGGGGGTCTGGCTTTTTGTGACGACGTGGGGCGGAGGGGAGGGGAGGGGAGGGAGGGGGGGGGGGGGTAGGTAAAAATCGTCAAAAAAGCGTGACGAAAAGCGGAGAAAAAAGTCTGGAAGAAACACTGATCAGGAAGAGGCTTTTTATGATATTGGCCTATTTTTAAACACTAGGGTCGGGTAAAAAAATTCGGCTCCTTTAAATTTTTAGAACAATTCAGTATATTTTTATTTTAAAGTACAATGAAAATTACTTTTTTTATCATTAAATTCAATCAAGAAAAAAAATACTAGACTAGCAGGTATGAAAAAACAAAAGATAAAGGTAGACACAAGTAGACAGACTAAATAATGTAATGAATTAATTCGTTTATTCATTTGTTTACATTATACTTTTTAGACTCATTCCAAATAAAGAACGACAACAACTTTCGAACTTCCGTGCCGCCAGAAAGAAAAATGATACTAAATCTAAATCTGCGTCTTTAATAGTATTTTGATTTATCGCTTATAAATTTTAAAATGAGTTCTTCTGCTAAGGTAAATTGAACAATAGATTGTAAATTAATTTTATGTGCATGGACCAAGAAAAAAATCGGTAATTTAATGAATTACGCCCACTCACATCCTAAAAACAAAAAGTCAAAAACATGTCTTGAGCTCTGTCCTGTTATCGATATGTAAACAAGCTTGTAGGCACACTGACGATGATGAATTAGATTCTATTTATTTATATGACTCAACTCAACTGCCTTTTCAGCAACCATAAGCTTAAACGACCCAACCACGCCAACCTCTGATAAGTCCAGAGTTCGAACCCCTGGCAGATGCTGGGGACAGCCACTCATCTAGCTAGGAGAGACAACTCCAAAATAAAACAACTTAGTGTATAGAGTCCTTGCAAACACGTGACCTAAATCACGTGATACCTACGCCCGCCGCCACAGTGGTGTACATCAGACGTAAACACAATCAGCTGTTCGCCAGCGCTGGACGTGTTCACCAGCGCTGGACGTGTTCACCGTATGTAAAGAATCGCGCCCGCGGAAAAGGAAAAATATGTTAAAAAACTTTAACTCTTAGGAATTGAAGATCCTTATACAGTTATTGACAGTTTCGTGGATAATATAAATTTGTGGCCGAAATTTCTAAATAAAAATACTGTTAGTAATACCGTTTGCGTTTAGAGTTTAAGTAGACGAAGCTGATCAAATGCAGTAATATATTATAGGTTATCTACTGTAGCAAACGTGAGACCACTTAACTCCTACAAAACCCACACTACAACGGCTAATATAATCCATGGGTAATAACCAATCTGGGTAGCATGTTATACAATTTAAGACCCTTATAATCTTGCAGGGAAGTAATCAGACACATTAATACTGACGTTCAACTTTCATGATGGCTGCCCCCACCCGTATCTAGCCCACAATAAAACCAAAGAGGAGTCTGCCCTGCCCTCCCCTGAAAATGTCTCACCTCCGTGATACCCAGCCCCACAGAGATAGTATTTCTTATATAATTTTGACCCTCAGGGCCCAGCAGGGAGAACAAAGGGGAAAGTCCAACTGGTCTCCCCTCAACACTTCTCACCTCGGTGTCATGTTATGTCATTTATAGCACACATGGCTTATCAGGGGAAAGCATTAAGGCATTAAGAATCTTAACTCTGGACAGCTACACACTAGTATACTAGCTACACACTAGGTGCCTACTGTAAACTACTAGACTGTAGGCCCTATGTAGACCTGCAATTGTATCAATTGTAGACCGGGTCCATTGTTATTATTCTAAACCATCTCACTTATAATGTTTCTAGCTTGATTTGTTTCTTTTATAAACAGTGGATTTAAAAAAAAATTTAGCCTAATCATTAACCAAATAATAATAATGTGGTTATTTGTTGTTGGCTGGTATGATCTAGATTGTACTACTAGGCTACAAAAACTTAGTAGACCAATTACTAGATATGAATTTGAATTTAATTAAACTCAGTCCAGTATCAGATACATATTGCTGTAAAAAGACAACAAAGTAGGTAGGCCTTAGTAATTTATTAAAGCCTTCTACTACAATAATATCAACTACATGCTTGTATAAAGTTTTTACAATTTAATTTAAGTAGCAGATTCTAGATCTAAGTCTAGTCATAAAATCTATTTCAATTTCAGAAAATTTCGTTTGCTAAAAAAATGATTAGATAATAGAGCGAGATTTTAGATCTTAGAGACAATTAAATGCTTTATTAGGCCTATTATGACTACTTTTGATTTATTATGGGTGTATTTTGAATCGAATGTAGATCTAAAGTAATTAAATTTAAGTAAAGAAGTAGATTCTAGATTCTATGTCTACCCAGCGGAGCCAGGTATTAGGCCTACTATTAGATCTTATTATTCTTATTAGCCTATTACTTTTGACTTTGTCTTTTACTATTAGTATTTGTGAAGGTCGAGCATATTTGTTTTATTAATAGTTATCTTTTATAATTAAAATGAAGTTTATTATTTTACTGTCCTTACCTGAAACAAAGTATCGAGAACTGCATTTGATCAGATTCCGCTACTTTAACTCTAAACGCAAACAGTATTACTAACAGTATTTTTATTTAGAAATTTTGTCCACATATTTATTTATACGAAACTGTCAATAACAGTATAAGGATCTTCAATTCCTAAGAGTTCAAGTTTTTTAACGTATTTTTCCTTTTCCGCGGGCGCGATTCTTTACATACGGTGAACGCGTCCAGCGCTGGTGAACACGTCCAGCGCTGGCGAACAGCTGATTGTGTTTACGTCTGGTGTACACCACTGTGGCGGCGGGCGTAGGTATCACGAACGGACGTGACGTCATATGAAAGGACTCTATTGTTGTTTGTTCTTGGTTGGACAAAATCTATGGATTCACTATGGAAGCAAATCCATAAAAAAAGCAGGCTGAAATCTGAGTAACCATGACACGTATACACGTTAATTGTATAGGCCCTACTTAATAATAATAAAGGCGGGAATCCCTTTCAACACTAAAATTAAGAATGGAGAGAAAAAAACTGCCTTTTCTATATTTTAAAACTGAAACAGTGGCCGTCCTTGCACACTGACAATGATTAAATATTTATAGTGATAATGATATGACTCAACTGTCTTTTCTACATTTTTAAAAACAGTACAGTAATTTCACTTTGTGACTACTTTCTTGATCATAACTCTAACTAAGGGGCCGTCCTTTTACTAATTATGTCATGCTTTTTTTTTCCTATTATAGTATGTGCTATAGTTACAGTGACTGTCACATAACATATCCCACCAAAATAATGAAAAAATACTATAAAAAATGACAAATTAAACCAAAGCTAAAAAGAACTGTAGCCTAAATAGGTACACTATAGTATGTTGTCTAGAAAATTACCTCAGAAACTTACAATATCTGAGTCTACTTTTACATTCCTGGCTAATGGGACTCAATGTGGTGCTCACTGGGATGAAAGAAAACACTGCTAAATCTAGTCTAGTCTAATTGAATCTCATTATTTTAATTACGAGATCTATCTCATTGAAGTAAATTTTTAAAAATTGATCATCTGTTCTAAACCAGAAAAGTGTTTTTGTAACTGAATTATTTCACTACATAAATGAGCATGGGCCTTAAAAAATCTATGTTTTGTTTTGCAATGGATATTTTTGCTGTGGAATAGGTTTAAGTTTAATTCTAGAATAATTAAAAATTCTTACCAATATTTCTTTATTTAACAATACATGTACACAGGCTTAAAAAATACTTAATTACATGTCATACAGACATTGCGGGAGGTGTATAATTCTACAAAAAAATGTTCACATACTCTTTCATCAGGTTGGAGAAATTTTCACAGCTGCTGGCTCTGCTTTTACCAAACTAGGAGAACTAACTATGCAGCTTCACCCTTCTTCAGATCAAAATGCTGGGGGAATAGGGTAGGTAACTCTTTTAGAAATATTAATTTTATTTGCTGAGTTATATCTCTTTTATTTCCAGTTTTAATTGTGAATTTTTTTTTTATTCAGTACTCTGAGAAATGGTTAATCATTAATTTCTATTAATGTAACATTATTTTGGAGGAAACAGATTTATTTCATTTATATTTATATCATTCATACATGGCATGGTATTTTTTTTTTTTTTACATTTTGTAGACCTGTTTTTAATTTTTATTATAAACTGTTAGAAATGGTCATCTTAAAAGCTTTGTTGTATGTAAAATAATTTCAGAGGAAAATGGACGGAGCAAGAAATAGAGATGTTGAGAGGTGCAGTGAAGCGGTTTGGAGAAGATCTAAACAAGATCAGTGAAGTTATTAAAAGCAGAACTATGTAAGTCATTACAACACTGCAACTTGGTTCACTTGTGCAAATTGGTATCACAGTTATAAGTTGAAACAAAAATATATAGTTTTTTAATAAGAAATCAACAAAATTTTATAAAGCTTATTATTCTTGTGATAATAAAAGTAGTGCAGCTAACTCTAGGAAACAGAAAGCATGCTTCATGTTATATTTTGATCCCTACAGCTCACAGATCAGAACACAGCTAAAGAGAAAAGCCTATGAAGATGCTGGCCTTCAGCCACCGTCCACCACCACCCCAGCCAAAACACCAACCGCAACAAAAGCAGCTGCCAAACAAGCTGTTTCCTCAGTCTCAGCCCAAGTGACTGCCGAGCCTCATGCTAAAAAACAAAAAACCTCTGGTCAGTTTTCTTTTTTTTTCATTTTTTTCTTTTGTATGCTGAGCCTCATACTAAGAAACAAAATAACCTCCAGTTAGTTTTCTCTTGTTCCTCTCAATCTTTTGTTTGCTGAGCCTCATGCTAAGAAACAAAAAACCTCTGGTTAGTTTTCTCTTGTTCCTCTCAATTCTTTTGTATGCTGAGCCTCATGCTAAGAAACAAAAAAAACTCTGGTTAGTTTATCTTGTTCCTCTCATATCTTTTGTTGAACTCCCCATTACAAGTAGCCAGAGAAAACATGAGCTTTGAATAATTGTTACTCTGTCTTGAATGTTAAATGAATATTTTTGTTTGATCTCCAGAAGTGACACTGAGTGCTCTCAATGCACCTGAGGGAGATGTGGATATTGAAGGGTTGGGTGACTCCAGCAGTCATAAAAAACTGGACTTTGACTCAGGTGGGAAGTGCTTGGCCGTAGAAAGAATTAATATTGCTATTTAGATTACATAATTATATACATTGTTTAAAGTAACTATAATCACATTTTCTCCAATCAAATATAATTAAATAGTATTGCAATTAAATTTAGAGGGTTTTTTTAATGATGTATTTGATAAATTAAAAAAAAGAGATTCTGCAAGTTTAAAATAAAATTTGATTATAGGTTAAGTAATAAATTGTTGATGTTACAGTGTAACTAACAAACAATTCTAATTTCCTTTACAGATGTGGATTCAAGTATGTTGTAATGAAAGGGCTGTGTGGTATGGTAGTGTTTTGATGAGTGTGTTGAAATTCTTAATGGGCAATTGTCACTTAATGTCAAGTGAGTTATTGTATTATAGAATGGTGTGCCAGATTTCTTGGGGGTATCATTGATTGATTCTGTTGTTATGATTGTAATGTTATGATTGTAGTAGTGTTTTATTACTATGAATTTTAGTAGTATTGCATGAGAGCAATGATATTTTAATGCTTTTTACTAGGTAATTATGTTTTTTGTTTTGCTAGATAGTAAATTACTGGTGTTATAATGTCACTTGCCCAGGCAGTGATATTTTAATGTCACTTGCCCAGAAGTGATATTTTAATGTCACTTGCCCAGGAAGTGATATTTTAATGTCACTTGCCCAGGCAGTGATATTTTAATGTCACTTGCCCAGGCAGTGATATTTTAATGTCACTTGCCCAGGAAGTGATATTTTAATGTCACTTGCCCAGGAAGTGATATTTTAATGTCACTTGCCCAGGAAGTGATATTTTAATGTCACTTGCCCAAGCAGTGATATTTTAATGTCACTTGCCCAGGAAGTGATATTTTAATGTCACTTGCCCAAGCAGTGATATTTTAATGTCACTTGCCCAGGAAGTGATATTTTAATGTCACTTGCCCAGGAAGTGATATTTTAATGTCACTTGCCCAGGAAGTGATATTTTAATGTCACTTGCCCAGGAAGTGATATTTTAATGTCACTTGCCCAAGCAGTGATATTTTAATGTCACTTGCCCAGGAAGTGATATTTTAATGTCACTTGCCCAGGAAGTGATATTTTAATGTCACTTGCCCAAGCAGTGATATTATAATGTCACTTGCCCAGGAAGTGATATTTTAATTTCACTTGCCCAGGAAGTGATATTTTAATGTCACTTGCCCAAGCAGTGATATTTTAATGTCACTTGCCCAGGAAGTGATATTTTAATGTCACTTGCCCAGGAAGTGATATTTTAATGTCACTTGCCCAGGAAGTGATATTTTAATGTCACTTGCCCAAGCAGTGATATTTTAATGTCACTTGCCCAGGAAGTGATATTTTAATGTCACTTGCCCAGGAAGTGATATTTTAATGTCACTTGCCCAGGAAGTGATATTTTAATGTCACTTGCCCAGGAAGTGATATTTTAATGTCACTTGCCCAAGCAGTGATATTTTAATGTCACTTGCCCAGGAAGTGATATTTTAATGTCACTTGCCCAGGAAGTGATATTTTAATGTCACTTGCCCAGGAAGTGATATTTTAATGTCACTTGCCCAAGCAGTGATATTATAATGTCACTTGCCCAGGAAGTGATATTTTAATGTCACTTGCCCAGGAAGTGATATTTTAATGTCACTTGCCCAAGCAGTGATATTTTAATGTCACTTGCCCAGGAAGTGATATTTTAATGTCACTTGCCCAGGAAGTGATATTTTAATGTCACTTGCCCAAGCAGTGATATTATAATGTCACTTGCCCAGGAAGTGATATTTTAATTTCACTTGCCCAGAAGTGGAGCTAATAAGATATTTTTACATGTAAGGGAATATAAGGTGGGTGTAACTAATTCTGCGTGTAATGACTTGAGTGATAGCCTACACTGTCCTATTTGGTGTCATTGATCTTTGTTGTATTTTCTCATCTCATTAAATCTCAATGTTGACTACATATTGTTTCTAAAATATTATTTTTTAATGCACACAAAATGTTGAATCTAAAAATTTACGGCTTAAAAATATTTTAAGGACATTGTAAAAATCAGAACATCTCTAATGGTTTGTTTTAATAAATATATTTTTAGATCTGCAGTTAATGTTTTGTTTCTGTTGTTATATTTTTAAAATCCCTTTATCTAATCTGGCATCTAATTTTTTATTTTGTTTGATTCGTTTACTAACGCTAGCTTATTTATTAGGTTACTAAACATCGGAATAGTTAAAAACGTTCAAATAGTTGAACTTTGATACCGTTTTTTTTTTTTTCAATAACACTCCTGATAACTCATCTTGCTATTTTGAAATAGGCTCTGTACAGTGTTTCTTTCACTTTTTTTTTGTGTTGAGGGGGGGGGGGGCGCTCTGTCATACCCCCCCCCCCCCCCCCCCTTCCCCGAAGAGATGCCTGAAAGAAACTGAAGAAGTTGTGGGAAGTCACAAAGCTGGGACACAGTTCAATAGCTATTTTAATTTCTCTCCCTTTACCAATAGACTTTAGTATGATTACTTAGACTTTTCAAGTAAAATAAAAGTGCCGCCACTTGTTTTTCTTTTGCACCCACACACCCTGACTATTCGAGGCTGAACAATTCAAACATTTGAATGGGCTACAGACACGCTACAACTAGTACTAGTCCCGTATTTCTCCTCCCTGTAGCATATTGCCACAAACTGCATGACTACATCCATACGCAAAGCCTCTCTTTGATAAATGAATGCGTGTCGAGAGTGACCTCCCCTTGTGTGTCCCAATCCTCCATTGTCGCGAGCTGCCGTAGATCCAACAGTTTGGATGTAATCAGCTGTGCATCCTGCGCGCTGCAAACCTAGGACTCTGTCAACTGTCAGCGTCCATCGATTGGCAGCTCCTGATTGAATATTGATATTGGTTTATTGATTGTGTGAAGGCCGTTATTGTCGGTGCGTCGCAGGTTTATTGATGACTTCCCTGACTGGTTTCGTGCTGTTAAACTTGAACTTTTGTCGAGATTGGGTTAAAAGGGTGGGAGGTGGGGAATGAGTGAGGGGGGGGGGGGGTGGTTCATGACTCACATATTGCCATTAACTAAGTTAAATGAAGGGTAAACGGACCATGAGACACCACGGTCCTTGAGAGTTTTATTTTTATTTGAATAATGGGATTTAAAAAAAAAAAAATTAACCGATGTGAATGAAAATAAAGGTTATAGAAAAATGGGTTTTTAGCAACCTGCTTGTCTGTAAGGCATGTGAAGTACCTGATTGTGTGGCTTGTGAATAGAGCGTGTAAAGATGTAGTTGAGCGACCACGCCCGTGGCTTGTGAATACAGCATGTAAAGATGTAGTTGTGTGACCACGCCTGTGGCTTGTGAATAGATCATGTAAAGATGTAGTTGAGCGACCACGCCGGTGGCTTGTGAACACGACGTGTGGTTTGTGAATACAATGTAAAGATGTAGTTGAGCGACCACGCCGGTGGCTTGTGAACACGACGTGTGGTTTGTGAATACAATGTAAAGATGTAGTTGAGCGACCACGCCGGTGGCTTGTGAACACGACGTGTGGTTTGTGAATACAATGTAAAGATGTAGTTGAGCGACCACGTCTGTGGTTTGTGAATAGATCATGTAAAGATGTAGTTGTGCGACCACGGCGTGTGGCTTGTGAACACGACGTGTGGTTTGTGAATAGAGCATGTAAAGATGTAGTTGAGCGACCACGGCTGTGGCTAGTGAACACGGCGTGTGGTTTGTAGCCCTGTTATGGGGTTGTGGGATCAGCATGTGGTTGTGTGGCAACATGTGGGTGCAACATATGCCTCGGCATATGGAGGTATCACCAAGCATACGTTTGTATCACCACACATGTGGTTGTGGTGGTGTGGTCTCAGCATGTGGTTGTATCACCACGCATACGTTTATATGGTCCCATGTGGCTTATAGACACAATACGTGATTTCCTATCTAATGTTGAGATGAATCATCAAAATGAAGATGGTAACACGGAGATGATACGTCTTGAAAAGGTGACACTACCCGGAGGGTGATACTTCGAGCGAGGGTGATACAAAAGGGAGATGATATATGTTGAGAAGGTGATACTGCATGGATGGTGACACATCTAGAAAAAATGATACAACAAATGTGTGCGATACGTCCAGAGAAGGTGACACAACAACAGTTTTCTCCCCACCCCCACCGGGTTGAAGCCAGGTACCCATTATTGCTGGGTGGACTCGGTGACGTCATGTGACCCCAACTCAAATCGATATTGTTGGGTTAACAACGAAAGTAACTGACATTATCCCCGTTTCGCTAAGTTATGTGTTTTGTTTTTTTTTAAATATCAAAACGCGATCACGTTTGTCATATCGAACACCTCGCTGCTAAATGTGCACACATTACAATGGAAATGTGGCTGCGCACTTTTAAAAAATCCGGATACTCAGATGGCTAGATTGATGGATGGCTTAGCACTGGGATTCAGCCGTTTAAAACTTCTCGCCCACTTAAAAATTATAATCTCGCCGTGAATTTATTCTGTGCTAGCATCGATTTACCGGAATCGCCATTTGACTCGAGGGTCAAAGGTTACGACATAATCATTACATTTGTTCTGGCACCTCTGGTTGCGCCACCTGTAGTTTTGTAAGAGCTTTTTGAAGTCGTACTGCGCTAAATGTGACGTCATAATTGACGTCACGACACTCAGGACCATGCTCGACGGGTCATTTTATCTACGCCCCACCCCACCCCGTTTCTTTCACTCCCTCACAACGTCATCAATAATTACCAGAAGCCATGGGAACGTAAATAGAATTAGATTCTAGATCTTATGTTAGAGCACTGTTGATAGACTAATCTAGGAATATGTATAGTTGTGTGTACGATATCTCTAGCGATGGCAGTGAGGTAAATATGTACTTGGAGTGGGGGAAGGATAGTTAAGTAGCCTACTTGGAACGGGGAAGATGTATATTATAATATATGTATTGGTGTGGGGAGATGTAGATATGTACTTGAAGTCGGTGAGAGTTTATATATATATAAAACTTCTCGCCCACTTCTATATATATATATATATAGTCGGGCCCCGCCCAAAAAGATTCCCAGCCAATGGCCAGGCCCAAGCCTAATCCGCCCCTGCCTTCCCTAACTCCATTCCTAACAAAAGTCTGTCCCCTTTTCCACCAGTCGCTTTATGTAATTCATACATATTTTAATTCCCTCCCCTCCACCCCCTTTCCCATCGAAGTCTTAGTTCTCTCGCACCCAATGTGTGACGTCATCTATAGACTGTAAAAAAAATATTTCATGCTACACAATTCAATCAACTGTAGCAAAAATTTATTCTTTTACGCTAAAAATATTAGGAGGAAAAGTTTTTAATCAATTTTTTATTATATTTGGTTCATGTCAAATAAACTACTGACCGAGTTGATTTGCATTTGATCAGGACATGGTTGATGATATAAAATATCGATATCGTAATTTTCACAGTGATGTCCCTTTCACATAACCTTACGCCCCTGTTCCTATGGCGGGTGGAGTTACGTCGCTTCATTCATGTCCATACACGATTGTAGGGAAAGCAATAGTACATTTTTTATGTCACTAAAATTTGAAGTATGAGAGCTAAAATCTACTTTTCAGTGCTATTTTCAATGTTTGTGAACTTAATCCGCACCGACTGCTCAAAGAAAGAAGCCATGTGGAAAATATTTTGTTTTTTATTTTTAAATACAGTAGGTTTAGTGTTCGTGATCCTTTATTTCAATAACCTTTTTTAAAAACAAAAACAAAACAACCTGTGATAGACACCAAACCTTATCGAACTTAATTTATGCCTGTAGCCAGTGGCGTAGCGAGGTCGGGTGTTACCCGGTGCGGCACTTAATGGTGTCACCCCC